GTCTCTAGAGGTGGCACAAGGCAAGGCTAGCAGCCGCGGTTTTTAGCAAAATACGATGACAAAGCATGTGGGGGAGATTTCCTTTTGGTGTGTCTGTTCCATTTCCACTACTTCATTTGCTTCGTGAGCAAAACTCCTCCTGCCTTTCCTTGGCAGAGGAACCCCAGCTGGACTGGAAGAAGGTGTCATTCTTTGTTCTCCTTATTTTTGCTACATGATGCATGAGACAGGCTGTGATGCGTCCTGTGGAAAAAAATAAAATAAGAATACATGCCTGCACATGTGTCTACAATCTCGTATGTTCTGTCCTACTACCCACATGTTTACATAACCACTTCACTTGATGAAAGAGCATGGACTAATTTTTTCCTGATAGGTAAAATCTTGAAGTAAAAGATGCAGATGACTAGTAAAATAAAAAAGGAAGAGGTAACAAACCAGCTAATTCCAGAATGAGATTAGGGAGGATTAGTCTGTCTAGCACAAATCTGCAAACAAACAGGCTAGTTTCCTGTGTGTGTAGCAAAGAGTTGCCATCCAGCAACAGTTCTGTTTGCTGTGTTAGACAATGCCAATAGGCTTTGCAGATCAGTCTGTAGAGGACATTTGTCTTCAGATCATTAATTTAAATAATTTATTTCACTAAGAGTTCTTGTGATCTCTTTCCACTCACAATAAGTGACTCCTTCCTCCAACTTCAGGAGTTTTATTAGGAAAGATTGATTTTTGTATTACACAATGACAGCAGCTCCAAGAAGTTGCAAAGGCCATTTATGTGTCTCTCACCTAGCAAATCTGCAGGGCTACCTGTGTGTAAACAGTTCATCTCAATGCCAAAATCACCCCCACATTTAGATATCTGCAGATTATGTGCTCCCTGCGTTGATGCACAGTAGAGTTACGCCTCCCTCAAGAACCTCAGGTTTTCCAAAACCTTGAATCAACATGAAAAGATGATTTTTTTTGAATGCTGATTTTCTTCATTGCTCATTACATTCCAGGCTATATTCACACATAAACATGTACATTTCCTAACCATTTGCTAGAGAGCACTAGAGGCTTAGCGGTGCTTTGCATCCTGAGTTACAATAGTGTGTAGTGCTACCATTAAGTATCACACATTTATTAATGCTGCAGATATCTGTCAGTCTCTAAAATTCAGCAGATTCATGCAGATATATTTGAGGGCAGAATTTGAGCTGAAGAAAACCATTCACGTATCTTTAGGTTTTAGGGAGAGGGAAAGTAGGAAGGAAAAAGATCATTGTGTTTGCTATTTATTGCAGTGTAGAGGGGACTTCTGTGAAAGTGTTGCAGAATCACAGTAAGCAATTTTATTTGTGCTCTAAGAAAGACTTTGTGCAGGAATTATTCAGACTGAACTCTGCCCTTAAGTTACTGGTACCCAGTATTACCTATGGAATGAATTGAATGTGGAATGCTGGTCTCTTTCCTGTCTATAGCAATCATATTGCAGTAAATAGCCTTCTGCTAAGATTTTTCTGTGTGTTCTCTTCCTGCAGTTTCTATAATGACATATCACAATTTTTGCAAGGACTGTGAATGATAGGAGTTGTGGCCTTCTGAGAAATGGAAGCTCTCTGCTGAGAGGAGGCAGAAGATTACTTTCACTGTATCATTACTGTAATAGTTCTGTCATTAGTCTCAGTGGAAGCAATACAGTGCACAGATTGAATGCAAATGACTTGGATAACCTTATTGTTTTCTATAGAGCAGTTTAGATATAAATACCTAATGTGTTTCACTCTGCATCCATATGCCTGGGAGTTTCCAAATTGCATGTTTGTATTTTGTATGCATAATACAGTGCTCTCATCTGAAAAGGGCACATCTGAGGACTCTTTCTGTGCTACTCAGAAGGAATGTCTACTGATCCTTCTTCTGGGAGTAGGTCTCTACTATAGTTTTTTAGAATTAGCCAATATTAATGATAACAAATTGTAGTAAAACATTTCATGTTGATGGAGGTATTAGGAACAGGCTTTAATCCCATGGAGAGCTTCACTGACTCTGAAGAGTTCTTCTAAGATTTCCACAAGTGAACTAGCACTTAGCTGAATCATGGAGAAGAGTGAAGAGATTTAATGACTGGTTTCTGGGAACATAGGCATCTCCTCACTTTGCAGTGCTCTCTCATGTGTCCCATTTGTCCTTGTATTCTAAGTGTTTAGCAATAGATGGAGATTGCAGTGTTTGTAAACACAGAGCTTACTGTGTGTATGGACTGACTTTGTATATGGTTGTTTGACTCTGAAGTCATTGGACTGATAAACCATGGAAACTAGACAAACAAGAGAACAGATGAATCTCTCCTGTTACCCTGGATTCTTGGGAGAGAGCATAGCAAATTATGGTGAGTGTTTAGGGAGAAGACTTAGCACAGAATCATAGAATATCCCAAGGTGGAAGGGACTGACAAGGACCATCAAGTCCAACTGCTGGTCCCACGCAGAACCAGTCAAAATCCAAACCATACATCTAAGAGGTGGTTCAAACACTCCTTGAACTCTGGCAGCTTGGGACAGTGACCAGTGCCCTAGAAAGCCTGTTCCATGCCCACCACCCTCTGGTGAAGAGCCTTTTCCAGTTTTGGTTCCCAGCACAGACGTGCGGAAAAGCAACACAGAGAATGCAGTTGATTAATTACTGACTAATAAGTAGCTCAGATTAGCCTTTAAATTAATAGTCGTTTTCCTGTCTTAGCATGTCATAGTTAAGAAATGTTCTTATAGTGGCATCAGAAACAGTGCACAGAAAGTTAAAAACCAGTTAGCATACCAAAAAAAAAAAAAGGAAGAAGAACTAGAGAGAGTGGATGCTGCTTAATATCCTGAAAAGTGTTGGTACATTTCATAGAATATGCTGCATGACAGGGTGAGTGAAATGGTGTGTGTTTGTTTGTTTGTTTGTTAGCCCAGTTTGGGGAAGAGTTGGGTCTTCCAAAGAAACAAACAAGATGCATTTAAGGAAAGCAGGATGCTCAATGCTTGAAAATGTTTCTGATACTTGTTGTGCTGATTTTTCCCAAATCTTGTCCAAAAACAAATCTTGTCACTACATCACTTCCTAGAGTGAGTTTACTTTTTCTTGCTTTGTTGGGATTACACACTTGAAAAAATTCTGTGAGTACATTTATGGAAAATAGTGGCATATTAAGTGCACGTTCTGTTTGCAGAAAGTGGCTACATATTAGAGAAGTGAGAAAAAAGAAGTCCTCTCTGACTCCTCCTGCCTACTCACATGAACACGGTGAAAGAGATTCTCCTCTTATTTGAACCACAAAACCACCCATTTAACAGGGGGAGTGACAGCCAAACCAAAGGTTCTGCACAGAGCAGATAGTTGGTTCTTTCTGAACCGATGTCAAGCTATTCCATTCATGCCGTGGGTGTAGTGATATGATGACATTGCTGGTATATTTCCATTGGACAGTGTGCTCGGCAGCTTTGCCAGCTGCAGCAATTTTTAGAATTGGAGCTTGTCTATGAATTTCCCACTTGTGTGCTATCACAGGGTTTGCATTCTTGAGAGTGAAAGGACTTGCGGTTGAATTGTAAAGCTGTTTGCAGACCTGGTCTCTCACCCACAGTGACAGGCTAAGCTTCTAAAAACAACTGGGGACAACCTTTCCATTTGATGTGGAGTTTGGGGAGAGTTATTTATGTATTACTGTGAACCACTGTGGTACCAAGGAGGGAGAGGTTTTCCAGTTAATTGAGCTGGTTGTTGAATCTGCTCTGGATGAATTACAGCATGGCTATCCAGCACATTTTGCAAAATTGGCCCTAGTCCTACTGTTTTTCCATGAGCATAGCTTACATCCAATTTACTGTGAGTCTTCACTAAACTATGTGAAGGACAAATGCATTTACTTGGAACCTTGGCTTCTATCAGCTCCTATGTAGAGAAATAGGGCTTGAAAGCTGTGCCATCGTTTGAGGAAATGTGCCTTTTTGATACAAGTCTGTATCAGACTTGGACATCAGTGGAGAGCAAGACTGTACTCTTTTCTGACCTTCTGAAGCTGGTTGCTTTTGCTGAGTTCACAGAGCAGGAAGAGCTCTGTGTATTTAAGGACTGTATTGTCTATTTTTCCTGAATGGAAGAGTTAAGGAAATGGGCATGCTCCTGACTCTGTCACAGAGCCAAAGACTTAAGAGCAGTCCTATTCCTAGTGAGGACTGCAGTACTTAGCTGAAGATTTGCAGTGTAAGATGTTCCAAAAAGGCCTGTTCACTGTTGTTTATTGCTTAGAGCCAGTTGATGTGTTGGCTTGGATTTTGGAAGAATTAAATAGCCTACAGCTGTTACTTTTTCCTGTCAAAAATCTATGATAATGTTTTGCTTTACTGTTCTAAGAGGAAGAGATGGTTTTTAAGTCATTTCAGATACGGGCTACTAAATACATCCTCTTAAAAGCCAATTCAAAATAGTTTATTATAACTCTGCCCATTGACCTATGTCCTCATGGGATTCTTCCAGTATTTCGCGATATTCATAGGGTAGGATATTTAAACATCTGTATTTTAAACAGAGAACTCTTATGAAATGTAAGAGGAATTGCCTAGCTGTTCCAGTGGTTCTGTACAAGGGCACTGAAGCCACAAGTTGAACATTGCACAGCATCCCACAACCCATGTCTGTGGCACTCTGCAACATATGCCTTGTGCTGTAAAAAGAAGGGAGGAAATTCTGGATGAGGAAGAGAAGTATTTGGTCCAACTTGTACTTAAGGATGATTTTTATTTTATAAGAATCACATAGTAAAGTACAGAACCATATGGTGAATTATATTTTTCAGTGGTATCCGATGACTTCCCCCACTCTTATGCCTTTAGAATATCTAAATCTTTTTTCTTCCTAGTTTCTGCTTTATTTTATTCAAAGAAGTGTTGACTATACAGCTGAACGTGTTGTGCGGGGGGATGTTTCTGAAGTGGAATTGGAGTAGATGTTTATATCTTATTGTTTCGTTGTAGAATCTCTTCTTGGGGGCCTTGGAGACCTGAGTTCCCTGTACAGCAGTGTAGAACAGCAACTGAATGAAACCCTGAGGCGACGCAGGCATGCAGGAGATGACGACTACAACATTGAGGTGCTGCTAGGTGTGGATGACTCTGTCGTCCGGTTCCATGGCAAAGAACATGTTCAAAACTACCTCCTTACCCTCATGAACATAGTGAGTATCTTCCATAGTATTGTGCTGTTCTGCTTTAAAAATGTTAAAGGTTTCTGTAAACTCTTGCAGCAGTACCTAGGAGATCATGATTGATACAAAGATGATAATTTTGTCTGATTTTCGGTTTGCTTCTTTATTTTCAAGGTGCTCCTTCAACTGATTTTTTTCATAATGGTATTCTAGGGCACATTCTGGGGTAATTCCAAGAATTTACTGTCCTTCACCCTCAGTGAAAGTACTATCCTTCATATCTCACAGAGCTGCATAGAATAATTCTATTAGCCCATGTGTTCATGACTGTTCTTGCATGTGAATGATCTTGAAATTAAAGACTGCAAGATACTGTGAGACTGGGAAAGCAAAGGCTTTCTCACAGAGCACTGCAGGACGTGAGCTTCCACCAAGTGTCCTTTGGATGGGTAACATGCTGTGTCAAATTCTCCTTCCTTGATAAAGTGTGATTATACAGAGCTAAAGAGGACAGGATGGAGTTACTAGCAGTCCTGTTGATGCTTTGGACAGATGAGGTTTATTTAAAAACAAAGGAGGGCCATTTTTTCCACAATCTGCATTGTGAAAATAGAAACGCACCTGTATTCCACAATCTCAAATTCAAAAACCAGAAAAATGCCCAGATAGTTGAAAAATGCCAGATGTTGTCCCTTATGTTCAGGGATAGAATTGTTATTCCTGAAAAATGGCTTTTGGTTGATAGATGCTCTGTGTATTATGTGAGGCCATATGGGCTGAAGTTCCCCATGTTGTTAAGTGCTCTTGAAAGTTATTCATGATAGTGAGTGACCTGGTAGTCTCCTGGCTTCTACAAGCTTAGTTAACTACTGTGATAGTTGTGTTATAAACATAACAGTGGGATCTAGCAAGCAGTGCTGATCACTGCAAGACAGCAGAGTACTGTCATGGGAGTGTCTCTTGTTGTTTTTCTCTCAGTCAGACTCTTTCTCTGCTACTTGGCTAAATAAGAAGGTGTGAATATCCCCTATCACAACACAAGCTACAGATAACAGCAGATAACATGATGTTTGTTCTGTAAATGAAATTCTATGGGAGCAAGCCAAGCAGGTTTGTTAGGAGTGTTTAGCAAATCTGGGAAATTTTATTTCTGTTCCTTTTGCACAAGCAGAGGAAAGTGGGAGAACTGGGGCAGTGACAGCATGTATTTGTGCTCCATTTCTTGAGGAGATGCCTTGGGGACTGGCGCCTTGGTATGCTGTGAGATTGCCTTTTGAAGGGGGGTTTGCTGAGAGAGACTATTAATGCAGGAAGATTATGCAAACTATTTATTTTAAAAAATCTACTACTAGGTCTTTGCATAATACCTCAATAAGAAAAGATTAAGTTAAACTGATAAAATTGGAAAGTGTCAGCTTACACAAATAACTAAGTATAGTTACAAAACAGAGCAATTGCTTCTGCCAATACTGCCAGTTCGAAAAGTAGCAGTGTAAACTTAAAAAACTGTTTTCCTGTTTGAGATTTTGAAGTTCTTTTACCTTTAACTCTCCTGTTGACTCAAAGTCAACAAAGCTATAGTAAAAGTGTATTTCTCAGAATAGTTGCCATTGGTTTCAAGGGAGTTTTGTCTGAAAGGCCTGGATGAGGACCCCACGGCAGGAGTCTGATTCTACTTTCCTTATATAGTGAGAGATTGTAGTTGAAAAACAGCGGGAAGAAGTATGTAAACTTGAAACATTCTTGACAGCTCGTAATGTCTTCTGTTTCTGAGGTTAAAGAGAAAGTATGCAGAAAGAAGAAGCACCCTAAATCATAGAATCATAGAATGCTTTGAGTTGGAAGGGACCTTTAAGATCATCTCTTTCCAGCCCTCCTATGGTAGGCAGGGACACTTCCCTCTAGACCACGTTGCTCAAAGCCCCATCCAGACTAGCCTTGAATGCTTCCAGGGAGGGAGCATTCACAGCCTCACTGGGCAACCTGTTCCAGTGTCTCACCACCCTCACAGTAAAGAATTTCTTCCTAATATCTAGTCTAAATATATACCCTCTTCTAGTTTAAAGCTTTTTCCCCTTGTGCTGTCGCTACGTGCCCTTATGAAAAGTCCCTGTCCAGCTTTTCTGTAGGTCTTCTTCAGGTACTGGAAGGCCGCTATAAGGTCTCCTTGGAGCCTTCTCCAGGCAGAAGAGCTCCAGCTCTCTCAGCCTGTCCTCATAGGGGAGATGCTCCAGCTCTCTGATAATCTTCATGGCACTCCTCTGGACCTGCTTCAACAGCTCCATGTCCTTCTTGTGATGGGAGCCCCTGAGCTGAACACAGTACTCCAGATAGGGTCTCACGAGAGCAAAGTAGAGGGGCAGAATCACCTCCCTCGACCTGCTGGTCACACTTCTCTTGATGCAACCCAGGATACAGTTGGCTTTCTGGGCTGCAGAAAATAAAGACGAGGTGATTGGTGGTAACCAGCATGGCTTAAGCAAATATAAATCATCGAATCATAGAAAATATAAATACCAAATGCTACTTTCAGCTACCTTCTAGCTGTACCTATTCCTTAAGTGATGTGACAATATCTATAGAAACTGCAAAGAAACTGTAAAGAAACAAACTTGTAGAATTCTAGCTGAAGAAGCTAGAGGGTTAGCAATTATTTTGTGTCTAGATATACATAGATGACTCCAAAAGTAATGTCTGTTTATTTCCTTGGAAATTTCAACATATGGATGCAAAGAGTACAGTAATAGTATTTGGCAGCACATTCTCGGCTACAAAACACTACTTTTCCACACAGTCACCACCATTGGCTGTGCATTTTTGCCACTGATGAGCAAGAGTCTGCATGTAGCACTCATACAAATCAGAACCAGAGTAGGTGACCCACTGCCACTGTTGCCACTGCTGAAATGCACCGCCCACCATATCACTGTGCTCACATCCATTGTGAGCCATTTTTTCTGCAAGGAGGAATTCAGCGATGCCCCTTTGCTTCATACACACTTCCACGTCAGACACCGTTCTGTCAGACTGCCCCTCTGCTGCCATCTGTCCCATTGCAACAAAATGTAATGAAATATTGGCAAGAAGGTTCATCCTCTACTGCCATACCTCCAACATCTGCCTATGACATCTTGGGCCGGCATCATTAAATAGGAGGCATTATGATATTACTTTTCTCCCATGCCTTCTCCCTTTGGTCCAAGCTTTGATCCTTGTGACTTATAACATGTCCCGCTCAAAGCACTTCAAGAACTCCCATTTAGTGCACGCTGTGCAATGATTGCATCACACTGCTACCCAAAGATGGAGAGCTGAGGCTGAAAATGTGACCTCTTGTGTCTCAGACTAAAGGTGAGTTGCAGTGTCTAGATAATGTCTTTTGGGTTCCTTTGTAAGCTCTTCAGTTACCTAAGTAAACTGTATCTTCATAATGAACTATGTTTCCAACAATATGTGACCAGATGTACTGCTCAAGGAACAGAGAAGATGTATACATAATGGGAGGGAAGCATAGAGCTAGGATTGGAGTGTACCTGCAGTTATGGTCTCTTTGTTTTAAGATGCCGTTTATCTTTTAGATACTCAGAGCCAGGTTCACTAAAAAAAAAATCTTCAGCACCATGCACCTGTCTCAATCTCATCTCAGTTTCCAAATGCACAAACACTCTGAGCATGTTTGAAGATCCAGCTACCTGTTGAGCTTCCAAAATGAGGACCAGCAATCTAAAAATGTAATCTGTAGAATTTGGCCGGAAAAAATCTTGATATGAATTTAAACCAAGTGATATCTTTTCCAGCATCGCTGTGTGTAAAATTATAACAACTCTGCTATAAATCTAGAATAAGAAACTCCAGACGTAACACACACATTGTAACAGAAAAACAGAATTCAGTCTGCTAAGTTTACAACCTGGAGCATTGTTCAGTCTTGTCGCGTTTCCTACTGTTTCTGTAATTGGGAGCTTAATTTTTTTAGTACTATTTAAGTATGCTTGGGGAGTCGCTCTCTAACACTAAGTGAATGGAGCTGTAGAATCTTGGTTTGATGAAAAGGATCTGTTGAGTAACGTGTGTGCATTTGGTTTTGGAGCCCAAAACATTTAATCATAACTTCCTCCATTCCTCTGACATGCAAACAGGAGGCTTTTGACTCTGGTGAGTTAGGAAGCTGAGTGTGAAAATCTTTGAGGAGAAACAAGCCATTTAACCTGGCTGCTTTGTGGATCAGGGATGAGACAGGAATGAATCAGCAGCAGGACTTCGGTGACTGCGAATGCATGTCTAGTAACTGTGTATGTTTGTTGTTAGTTGAAGTTTCTTTTTTAGACTTGAGGGAATTAGAAAGCACACGAGCAAGTAATTGCTTATTCCTAGATCATCAGCCATTGAGACTGCAGCTGTTGGCAGCCTAATGCACTGCTGACATCAGTGGACACAGTTTGGCCTGGCTGAACTTGACTGATGCAGATATGAACCTGACTTTTGGGTTCTGATTTAGGTTTAGATCTAGCTGTGCGAAGATTCAAGATCTGAATTTAGCATGTCTCAACTTGAATCTTTCACTCTTCCTAAAAATGGAAGGAGAAAAGCAATTTGTGATGTCCTAGCGTTCCTGGGGATTTTTGCAAGGCTGATGCTAATTTGCTAAGCCTAGCTTGCTTCCCCAAGTAAGGAAGTTATGGGCCGTTCTGCCACGTGTAATGCAGTTAACTCCAGGTTAGCTTTGAAATAACTAATATACATAGGCAATTCTATTTCACTCACATGCAGAAAAGCAGTATAAATCACACTCAACCCTGTGCTACAATTGGTTATCCTGGGCACAGTGCCATGGTGACACAACTGCACAGCTCTCAGTGCCAAAGCTGGCTTGCTGAGAGCTAAGGATTGCATGTTCGTGTGATGTCACTGGGAGTTCTGGAGCTAGAGGTTGAGTTTCAGCTAAATAAATGCCTGAAATGTTTCCCCTTATTCAGTATTTACGTGTTCTCTTAGCTTTAGGAACAGGGATGCATCAGAGGTGTATATTA